CAATCCTTATGAGATATGAATACTTTGGACTTTTGATGCTAGATAGGGAAGGCAGGCTGACAACCACACAACACAGCTTCCACAAAAACAGGTCCTGCCAGACAAACCTTGTGGAATTCTATGACAAGGTTTCGCAATGGCTAGATGGAGGGGATGCAGTGGATGTGGTATACCTGGATTTCAGCAAGGCCTTTGACAGAGTGCCCCATGATATCTTGGTGGAGAAACTGAAGAGTTTTGGGATATACCAAAGCACTGTCCAGTGGATTAGGGCATGGTTGACTGACCGAAAGCAGAAGGTAACCATTAACTGGGAATCATCGGGATGGCTTTTAGTTCATTTAGAGCAGGGGTCCTCAAGCTTTTTCAACAGGGGGCCAGTTGGGGAGCCGGATTATAGTTTGAAAAAAAAAAAAAGAAGAAGAAGAACACATTCCTATGCACACTACACATTAAAAATAATTAAAATTAAAATTAATTTAAATTAAAATAAATTAAAATAAATTTTAAAATTAACATTTAAAAATTAATTTAAAAATTAAAAAATATTTGCTCGCTTGCTGAAAGAAAGCTGCGGCAGAGGCGCAGGAGCCCCAGTCCCGCTCCACCTCAGGCTGTCTGCCCCGGGCTCAGCGAGGTGGCCATGGCTGACTCGAAGAGGCCCACAGCCCGAGGACGTGGCTCACATAATTAAAAATAGATTTAAAAAGTTATATTTTTTCTTACCTTCAATCCTTTTTTAGTTTCTTCATCTCTCTCTTCCACCCTTCTCTCTTCTGTTTCCCACTCTGTATATGTGTGCAATGGGGGGGGGGGGGACGGCACATGCACAGTTGAGCTGTTACATTTGGCACATGCACCGGCTCTCTGCTCAAAGAACACCTGCGCCGGCTCAGAGCTTTTGGACTTGCTCAGAGATCATCTTCTCCGAGCGAGTCCAAAAGCTCTGAGGCAGGCTGGATAAATGCGCATGGCGGGCCAGATCCGGACCACAGGCTGTAGTTTGAGGACCCATGATTTAGAGCATCAGTGAAAATATGGACAGAACTGATCTAGTAAACATTATTTGGGCTTCCAAAAGACTTTTGGCAAACCTCTCACCAAAACTCATCAGCAAATTTACCAGTGAAGAGTTCCTCTTATGGATTAGTAATTGTTGGAGAACAGAAAGCAGAGAGTAGGAACAAATGGCAAATTCTTCCAATTGAATTATGTAAACAGTGGATGCCCCAGGGATCTGCATTTATTTAATTAATTTTTATACTGTCCAATAGCCAAGTCTCCCTGGTCAGTCAACAAAAGAAAAAATTACAACACAGACATAACATTAACCTATCACAACATTAGCATTAGGACCAATGATTTTCAACTTATCATAAATGATCTGGAATTAGAAGTAAGCAGTGAAACAATTATGTTCGCTAATAATACCAAGTTATTTAGGGTGATTAAACCAAAAGGTACTGTGAGGAGCTCCAAAAGCATCTCTCCAAACTGGGAAAATAGGCAGCAAAATGACGAACACAGTTCAGTGTAAGTATGAAGTAGTGTATGTTGGGACCGGCACCCCCCCTCCCCCACACACACAACCTGAAGTATAAACTGATGGATTTAAGCTAGCAGTTACTGACCAGGAAAGATATCTTGGGACTGTGATAGAAAGCTGATGAAAATGTCAAGCAAGTGTGCAGCTGCAGTGAAAAAGGTAAACATGTTGTTGTTCCTGCGGTTAATTTTATTTCTCTGTCACCCAATAGGAGAAGTTACCTGGACAATTGACACCACCACATAAAAATACAATATAAAATGCAGACAACAATACAGATATTACAAAAAGTTACCATACAGCATTCAAAAATGAATTCAAAGCAAATGTAAGGAACTACAATCACTTATACACATTAAATCATAAGACTTGTTCAAGCACTTAATATAAGTCCCAGTATAATAATTAATTAAATGCCCTGTGCTGGAAGATAGTCTTAACCTGGTGCCAAAAATAATTGAAGGTGGTACCAGGCAGGCCTCAGAGAGAAGCTCATTCCATAACTGGGGGTTACCACTGAAAAGGCCCTCCTACTTGTTGCCAAAGAGCTGAGCTTCCCTTGGAGGTGGTAATTAGAGGCAGGTCCAAGATCTCGTCCATAATAACTGCGTATGTTCTCTCATTTATAGTGCGTTTGTGTGTACAGAATATTGACTGCTACACTGGTAGTTAAGGGACTACCAGATTTCTCTGAAGAGTGATAATTTTAAGCAGAGTTATTACAAGGGTTAGGGATTAAGACTTTCATGAACATTGAATGAGTAGGATAATTTAGACCAAATGCTACATAATCTCTTCCCTCAATGGCACTGGCTCTATCCCTACTGGAGGATATGCAGTATCAGTCCCGTGGAACTGGCCCAGAAATTAGCAAGATTTTCAGATTAACAGCATAGTGTGGGCCACATTAGGCTTTCAGTTTGTGGTGGCGCTTAATTATAAGAGAGAAAAGAACAAAGGAGAACAGAGGATTCTCCTTTATTAGAAGGCCAGACTGAGAGAGGGGGATGTGGAATCACAGGTGAGTTACTTAAGGCTATCCCAGAGTAGAGGAAGACCAGGAGTCAATTCTGGCTAATGGGCAGGGTAGAAATTTAATGAATATACATTTTTATTTAAAATTTATAAAATAAAGTTGAGGATCCAGAGAAAGCCAAAGGCTGCATTGCAATATCAAGCAGAAAAATAGGACAACAGGAATGAGTATAAGGAGAACAGTCAAAGAGGTTTTAAGTGTCTGCAGAGATGCACATTAGAGAGGGAGCAGAGGAACCTTAGTGGCAAAGTAAATCCAAATACAGGCTATAATAATGTTTTACCAGGCTGGATTCCATGAAGCAGAAGTGCAAGAATAGGAATCAACCTGATGCTTCCAGGAGTCAGGCAAACAAGACTGGTCTCAGAAAACATACTTCAGTGGTTCAACAGCTATACTCTTGATGTTGTTGTTAGTTGTGAAGTTGTGTCCGATCCATCGCGACCCCATGGACAACACTCCTCCAGGCCTTCCTGTCCTCCACCATCCCCCAGAGTCCACTTAAACTCATGGCTATACTCTTAGAAACAAGCAAAAAAATGGATATCTATTGAATGAGGTTTTCTAGAGGAACAAAAGGGATGAGAAGCCTTTTAAAAATGATGCTAGATATTGAAAAGTTCTGGTCATTGAAGAATACAAACAACTTGACAATGTTAAGGAGGAGCAGAGCATTGTCCTGATTTCAGTAGGATGCAGGAAATTTTAGCTTTTGAGTGCCCAAGAGTTCCAAACTCCAATGAAGTTAAAGTACTATCTTTTCCATGACAACTGGGAGTGTCATTACATTGTGTCAATCATCCATCCTTGTCCTTGCTTCCAGTCCTTTTTAATTTTAAAAACTGTAAGCATACAATTGCTGTCAAAGTACTTCTTCCAACAGCAAACTTTGGACACTACACCCAACTTCTGGGACCTTCCTCCAAGTGCCAACTCTGAGGGAAGTGCAGAGGGTGGCAACAGATGGGAAGGCTTTCTTGGTGGTAGCCCCCATCTTTGGAACAACTGTCACACTGCAGCCTGGCTGGCATCAAATCTGCCATCTCTTCAGTACCAGGTTAACACAGCCCTCTTCTCCGAGGCCTTTAAAGACTTATTTGGCCACCCATGGGCTTGAGGGGGATCACCATTTCACAGAGTTATTCTTTTTTACAGTCTGTTTATATTGTCTGTTTTTAGCTATTTTAAACATTTTAATGTTTCTTCTTATTTTATGCTATTTTACTGTCTGTTTTTATGGACTGTGTAAACTGCCCAGAGAATTTCAGCTGTGAGGTGGTACAGAAATTAATAATAAATAACAATAATACAAAATAGAAGCTAAGGCACAATAGATGCATGGGGGAAATATAGGTGATCCCCCAAGAGTTATATTATGCTGATAATGTAAAGTACTGTATCTTGTGTGACCACTTCTAATTAATAGTTCTTTACTTCTGAGTATGTCAGAGTTTCAGTAAGTCTGTGCAGGTTGATTGTGTTAACATGGTAATCTATGCTAGAGTTAAAATGCTCTACTACAAGAGTGCTGGTAGCTAAAAGATATGGTTGAATTTTAGCATGGATTGAAATGTTTGCATCCTAATGAGGCTTCCCAAGACTTTTGCAAAACTCCCATATCACATTCACCTGCCTTCTTTGTGTTCTTTACATTGTTAAGTAGAACCAGAATTATGTGGGAAACAGATGAATGATATAGCAGTACACAAAGCACCTTATTGTGGAACTAAAATTGCCTAAGCTAGCATTGCTGCATTGTATGCAGCAACTTCTGCTTTTCAGCCCCCAGAAGGAATGCAAGAATGGATAGTGATATTTCTGGAGCATGAGATGATTCCTGCAGCAGAAATGAAGTCTCTGGCTCTGCTGTATTCCATTTTTCTACTTCTCTCTACCATTACTTGTGAAACAAAACTGCAACCTGCATAGAAGTAAGAGGAGAAAGATGCTTCTGGCACCAAATTCCTACTTGACAGGATCTGAAAACCTCCTTGCTGATCATGAGAGGTGGTTTTTGCCTCCTCAGTTAAGACATGACAACTGACAATTCATATAGGGCAGGTTCATGGGACATGACAAGGCACAGTGATTTTTTTAAAACTGTGGTTCGTCTGTTGTGTTGTCTAAATCCTAAACATCTTTTCTAGGGCAGGAGCAGGAAATCAGCCGGGAAAGGAGCAGCACTGCTTAACTGTTTCCTTGGCACACTCCAGAAAGCCTCCCATTCATGAGCAGGAGGGGTGAGAATCAAGAGTCAGCTGCATAGCAGTGTTCATTTGTGGGATGCCCCACTCTGCTATTTTCCCCATTGTCTCCAGTCTTGTTCCCACTTATCATAGAATGTATGTTGGGGAGACCTCTCTAGAAAGTAGGAATGAGAGTGAAGATAAGCACTGCCCCCCCCCCCCCACTGTCACTTCTACTTATGAGAAAGGCATTTAGGTGGATGCTCCTTTGGGAACTGCTCTCTTGCAGGCAGAAGAGAGAAAGAGGGCAAGCACCAGGTTGAGGACATTTCTTTAAGTGGAAGCAAGAAGGGGGATGAGTGCAACCTCCCCCTTCATCACAGATGCTTGAAAGGTGTTGAGGACACCTCTCTGGTAAGCAAGAACAAGGGGATGAGGTCTGCCTCCTCTTTTGTTGCTGTGGGGTTGGGGACCCTGTCTCCCAAGTGAAAATGAGAAAAGGAGATGAGCAGAGAAATCAACTACTCTGTGCTGTCACCAATCAGCAACTGCCACCCACCTTGTTCACATATAAAAGAGGGGCTTTTCTCTGGCACAGGTGGAGGGAGTGGAATTAACTGAGTGGCAGAGCTGACAGCCAGGCACCACTCCCAACTGATTCTTCTCCATGCTCATGAGCAGGAGGTGCTTCTTCAGGTGCACATGGAGGAGCAGAGGAGAAATCAACTGGGTACTGTTGCTCCTTTCTGTAGCACTGAACATCGGATCCCCCCTCACACACACTTAACAAGAATCAGGCAGTCCCCTCTGGAGCAGGTGGCAAGTGTGCTTGGTCAGCTCCATCTCATCCACGTGCTTTAAGACACGAGCCGTGTTTGTGCGACAGAGACTGCTTGACAACCTCAGTGTACTGAACTTGGCTCATGATTGAGGCCATTAAAGAGAGAAGCTCTATTCCTCCCCATGGTGTCTCCTCGGAAACCTGAAAGTCTGTGAGAGAAGGAAATGGTAAGGAGGAGAGTTATCACTGCAAGCCTGATCCTCAGGAACCACCCAGCCTGTTCCATACCTCTTGGCAATTTGCTTCTAAGCTCAATTAAGAAACCTAGTTTAGGTTTTTGTTGTCCACTCTATCATTATACAAGTTCAGATGGTAATTTTAATACCAAATGTTCTCAATTAGGGGTCCAAAATGATAGAACACGAGTGCCAAGTATATTAGGGTTTAATTATAAAACCTACCTCTTTTGTCTAGGGTTTGGCTCAAATGATTGTTTCTTCTGTGGCTTTTTATCCTCTAATGATTTTATTGATTTTGGTTATTTTTGTCTGCAGTGTTCTTATTGTTGTAAACTGCTGTGAGTTGCCAATAAAAGTGTTGCTGAAATACTTTGAATAAACAAATACATAAAATATATTGAGCCATGTTCAACTGAGAAAACTGAAAAGCAGTTTCCTTTGCTTGGGTTTGGCCTGGATTTCTTAAGGGAAAAAATGATCTAAATAGTTGTCCAGAGTAAGCCTCTGAAAGCAAGGAGCTTGGAGACTCCTTTCAAGTTCAATCTAAGAAATGTATGAGAAGAGCAATAAATAGTTCAGTTGGCTTTTCCCAGAACTACTCTGGATCCTAAGAAACTGTTCTGCTATTGATGTGATTCTGATACTGTCAGTATATTTTTTTCTACGTTCTTGTAGTAACAGTTCAACTTGTAAATCCAGATAATCAAATTATTAAATGTGGCATAATAAAATACTGTTAGAGCATCTCAGATGTTTCCTAGAAAACAGGAGCTGCTGTAATTGTGTTTACGCATAACTTGTGAAATCCTAGATATCAGGAAAAGTTTCCTCACTGTCAGAGCAATACAACAGTGGAACCAGCTGCCTACAGAGGTGGTGGGCTCTCCCACAGTGGAGACATTTAAAAAGAAACTGGACAGCCATCTTAGTGGGATGGTGTAAACTAGTCTCCAGCAACAGTAGGGAGTTAGACCTGATGGCCTTCATGGCCCCTTCCAGCTGTATTAGTCTATGAAATTTCAACCAAAGCAAACTGTGTAGCCTCCCACAAGCTACTCTCTCTCAACCTCAATCCCTCCCCAATCTATAACTGTGTGTGTGTGGGGGGGGGGGGGGGAGATGGATAACATTGTCTATGTTACTGGTTTATTGTATCAGTTACCAAAATGATATATATGAAAGGGATTATGCCTTCAGGAAAAAGTGCTATATAAACACTTTTATATAGCACTTGCTATATAAAATGCAATGCCATTATTTGCTACTAAACTTATCTATTATGCATCTATATTTATTAGTTCCCTGGAAGATATTAAATAGCCTCCTAAAAGTAATATAAACTTGTTTCTTCTCATCTTCTTTAACAGTGTACATGTTAAATAAATTTCATTATTTTTGTACTTAACCGTACTAGGGCCAAGTAAAATAGCACTGTTGATATTAAAGCTTTACACATACTACACCTGTTTATATAAAAATCTGAAACCTCTAGCTATGGATTTGACCAGATAGAACATCTATTCCTACTAGCATTAGCAGACTGCTATCACATGGTACAAGCCCCCATTGGAACACTGTATGCCACACAAAGCCATGGATTTAGCCAGTGCTGGCAACATGCTCCTGGTGGTGCCAGCTGAGTTCTTTTGCATGGTGTGTACCACCTGTACAGAGAGGTGCAAGCTACTCAAAGCCAATCTGTATTCTTAAAACATGGAATAATCTTGCTATGGATATGACAATGTTGGTGTATCAGTTGCTATTCCCAGTGCCAGACAAATTCTTTTTGTATTGGGAGATACAGGGAACTTCATGCCACTCCCAGCACAGAAAAGGGCAAAATGTGGGAAACATTGCAATGCTCATTGATGTCCACAAAAAGCCATGCTTGCACACAATTCCTCACTTTGTACGTCTGGTTTATATGAACTAATAGAGGATTTTTTATTTTAACCTAAAGTGATAATACAATTTTACTCTCTTCTTACTTACTCACTAGATTAATATAGGCTTATTTAATTGCCTGTTATTCCTGCAAGATTCTGTAAATTGGGCAAATGTTTTGCTAACTTAGAAAAGTAGTGAAATGTAATGTAATGCAGTATTGTTATCAAGTGCACAGGCTAGAGTTAAATCTAGACATAATTAATTGAAATGCCTCATCCATGGCCTCATGGATAGCCTCAGGCATGTCTCCAAAAATAAGTCATAAGCCATTTTGAATCTCTCAGCACTATTGAGACTATTGGCCATTTGTCAATACATTAATGCAGAACAACAGAAAGGAAAATGTGGGTGGGTACAGCCATTTTCTAATTTCCTATTCTCTCACTGCCATCAAGTCTAGGGATGGAGCAAAGTTGCACTGCACTGGGTCCTAAGTATGAGTTCAAAGTATAGGTTTTAGCATAAGTGCTCTGTGTGTACTATGTTTCAGGACTTTATTAGATTTATATCCCACCCTTTTCTCTTACGTAAGCTCAAAGCAGCTTACGTAATACTCGCTCTCCTGCTCTCAATCTTATTGCCACAAACAACAACCCCCTGAGGTAGGATGAGCTGAGAGTCTGTGACTGGCCCAAAATCATCCAATTAGTTCCATGGCTGAGAAGGGCCTAGAACACAGTTCACTTGAGTCCCAGTCCTGCACTCTTAACCACTACACCACGCTGGCTCTCTATGCCAGCCTACTAGAAGCTAAAATTATAAAACTCATAAGTTAGTATAAACTCAAATCTAGGCTTTGTACCCTAAACATGGCAGATCTTAATTAGTTAGCTTTAGAGCATTTTAGGCACATGTTTCCTTTAACTTGCCATCTAACTGGCACTTAATTCCTTCCTATTTCTCTTCTAATCTTTTCATATGTCTTCCTAACTGATATTCTTTCTTCCTTTATGTCCTACACTTTCAGGTACCTGGGGGAAGTAAAGCATTTGAGTGTAGGGCTTTACTTTTGCTAAATCAGGTTTAAGAATGTAAGGTTGTTTTTTTCATCCTCAATAAAATGCCAGCTTACAATCCTGATCAATGCAAGTCTAAATACTCAATTTAAAGATATTCAATTAGAAACTTCAGGTCTGGACTACTCTAATCCCTTCCTTGTGAGGCTGCCCTTGAGGTTGGGTTGGAAGCTGTCACTAGTACAGAGGCTGCTAAGTTTTCTGGGAAAGTAAGTCTGTAATGGTTGCCAGTTTGTTACTAAACCACAATCAAGGATATTAGTGACATGCAAAGTTCTAAACAACTTCGAACCAGGTTACCTGATTGCCTTCTACTATATAGACCTGTTAGACCACTGTATCTCATCCAGCTGAGTCATCTGTCAGCAATAGGTCTTCTTTGTGGTGATGCCCAGCCTCTGAAATGACTTTTCCTTTTAGTAAGTCATGTATCAATGATCATGTGCTTTCAATGATTAAGGATAAGGAAAAAAAAGTCAGTTCTTATCCCGACTTTTCCCAACCATTACCTTTTCTTGAAACTGTTATACTCATTTAATGCTGTTTTAGTTTATAAAGTGTTGTCAAGTGCTCTGGGAACTAAAATTAAAATTAGTATATAAATATTTTAAACAAATGAAAGCAATCAAAATTTAAACTGCAATACAAATCATTAATGTATATTTACAGCCAACCCACACTTATCACACGGAGCAGGAAGAGGGAATCTGGTCAGAGCTACTACACCTTTTCCCCTTTGTTCTTACCCAGCCTAATAATTTACTAGTCTTCTAGCAAATTGCTTTATGAAGACTGCAAATGCAAGAATAAACAGATATCCTGCTACTGTGCTTACTGTTCAGTATATGCAGGCAATAGTCTAAAGCAGAATGCACTACATTACTACTAGTAATGGATGACAAAAAATGCACTATTCTCAGGAGCATTCCTTTGTCATTACACAATACAACAGCCCAGCTGGGAGTGCTGATATGATATTGAACCTGGCAGGAAATATATATTTTTAAAACTATTTTCTAGATGAATATACACAGAATGTACTGGGTACCCAACAATTGTTCTTCCTAATGTTGTATCCTCCCAGTGACTCCTAACTCCACCAAAGCCATTCTCACATGAATCTCAGTATATCCAATTATACTTTTGCAATGGAGCAGTTTGGCAGGACAGTGGGAAAAGGCATGAGAGAAACCGTGTGGTGGTGGTGGTGAAGCCAACAGGTTATATAAAGAATTAACTGTGCTCCCCCACTGGACAAAATGGGGGTGTGTTATTTATTGTATAATTTAGTACTTATTTTATTACTTCTGTATTTATGTGTTGTGAGCCACCCCGAGGCTTTGTTACAATGGGGCGGCATAGAAATGTTTTAAATAAATAAATAAAATGGAGCAATTCTGAATTGCATCAGACTCCCCCCCCGCCCCCCCAGCCTGCTCTTAAAAGAGAAAAGGCAAATTAGCACCTCCCAAACCTTTATAGCACAGGATTGTTCATGCAGTTATCATTTTAAGTCTTTAAAATGTTGGCAATATCAACACAATTTATGAGAAAAGAAATTATATCTCAAAAGTCTGTTATTTCAGCAACAAAACACTGGAACATTAAGTATTCAGTATTGCACAGGGTAAGTGGCATTTCAGAGGCAAACACGTAAGCTAAGATATAAAAATCCTGTGAAAGTAACTACTGGGTCTTTTAATGCAAAATGGCTGGCCTGGGGACCAACAGCAGAGTACATTGATAATTATCATCAACCTGACCCTGTGCAACCATAGATAAAGCACGTCACTTAAATAATTATCTTATTGAGCAGTTCTTAAGGAATTGAAATCCTATTCACTTTCTTGGAAGTAAACCCCTCTGAATTCAACTGTACTTACTTCTGAGTAAACACTTCTAAGGTTTTAAAGCAACTAAAGTTGTGTGAGCAGAAAGTATTAATACTGGACATGTGGGGACAATATAGGATGGTCCAAAGAAAAGACAGCTATTAAGAGGGAAACTTTAAAGACAGCCTCTATGTACTTTACCTACTATGTACTTTACTTAACCTGTTACCTACCCAGTGTGACTTATGAATTAAACCTTATGAATTACCTTATGAGCAACCTTATGAATTAAAATCGTTCAAGCTGTCCTATCCATGACCCTCCCCGCTTAGCTGTTCTAATTTCAAGGCTGTGGCTTCCTTTACTCATCCAAAGCACAGTCTAAAACATAGAACTTCACTCCTGCCACACGTTTATTTTACACGTACGCAGCTAACACCACGTCTGGAAGAGAATATCTTACGTTGTTTCTCTCAGCTTCACAAGTAGTATCACCTTATCCTACCATAAGCATCAGTCTCTCTTTCGAACTGGAGACAAAGATTCCCTCCCGTTCCACCTTAAATCCCTTAGCAGCTGCCGCATGCTCTGACCAATAATTTCCTTAAGTGGGAGGAGCCACACGCAAAATATGCTAACTAATTGTGGTTTATTTGCATAACCGTCGAAATGGCAGATTTGCGGATTGGCCGGCGAAAAAAGCAGTTCGCACATCCGGTCGTCCGCTTCTCCGAAAGAGGTGTGGTCGAAATGAGTGGGAGGAGAGACCCGGACTCATTTGCATAACGGCCCAGCGCGTGCTGTAGTCTGTTTTTTTTTGAATCCGCGGCGGCAGTGGAAGCAGACGGAAGCGCTTGTGGGCAGCGCTCTGAAGCACCGGCGAAGGAGAGACCCGCACACGCAGGTACTGCTCACACTCAGAAGGAACGAGCGAGAGACACGGAGCGAGGGAGGGAGCGGGCGGGGTCCCTGTGCAGCAGGTCAGGTTTTAAGTCGGAAACAGCAGTGGCCAACGATTAATTTACTACAAAGCAACTGAAGTGGATCGCCTGAGGCAGCATTTTCTGAACGAAAGGTTTGTTGTTTTTCTTATTGTCGAATTGAAGGTTTCCTGCTGGTTCTGTGTTGCTTCTGGATATTTTCGGCCCCCTCCTGTTCCGTCCAGCTAGTCTCGCTGGGTGGCAGGCTACTCTATGATCACAGGAAATACTTTGGTCGGGGCATGCGCAGTGTGGAAGCGCGCCGCGTATTCTTGTTTCTAGTTTTGTTGAGCGGGGAGGAGTCACCGCTATTGGCCACGAGGAACTGTCGCTCTGAGGAAGCGGCCATTTTGATTGCATTTTCAGCGCACGACGACGAATAAGCTGAACTTTGGAAGCATAGGTTAGTATCGCTTTATCCTTTCATTTCGATTTACGCCTGGCATGGATTGGTTAGCCTAAAGGCACCAATCACAAGTGTGTGTGTGTGATTTTAAATTAAGAGTTTTAATTTTATGATTCAGCCGGGTGTACTGTCGGGAAAGTGGAGATATGATTGAAGCCTTAACAACACTATAATATTATGTTTTCTGCTTATTTAGTTGGCTGAACTATGAGCTGCTCGCTTTCTATCCTGTTTGTTCATAAAAAGGATTAATCTAGCCGAAAGTAGGCCCCATGGAGAGTAGTTGCCTTGTGGATATGAACTATGTAATGTAGCATTAATTTATATGTAGTTCCTCTGTGCACTCTGGATGAACTTTTTATATTGCAGCAGTAGTGGTTGCTATGAGACAACCTTTGTCAGCCCAGTGTGGTTGTGTCCACTTTTATTAGGAAATTGACTTTTTGGCAACAATAAACACAATAAGTCAATGATGCTGTTAAAAGCATAATGTGGAAAGCAAGGGGAAAACTTTGCTGAGTTGCGTATAACCTTTTGTATTAACTAAATAAACCAATATATTTGTGAAGTGTAGAAGAATTCATCAATAATTACAACAGGGGACAGGAATATTTACCATGTTGTAGATTATATTATATTGCAGATTAACACATGTACAATTCTTTGAAAACTGGAAAGTGCTATATAAAGCCTGTCAGTATGGCTCATTAAAAGCTGTTTCAAGCATCCAGCAAATGTTTCATAATTAAAGGCACAGGAAAAATTACTTGAATCCAAAAATCATATTTGAGCAGACATCTGATATCTTTTTTCTGTTCCAGGGTTCCTTTTTAAGGGCACAAATTTATTCATATTTAGGAGAAAAGTGTACAACTCTTAGCATTGTCCAGCTAGCTAGGTGGGAAATACTGGGGGTTGTAAAGTGTTTCCCCCAATCCAAATAGATTTGTATCCTTAGTCAGTTAAATTGTGGCCTTAGTCACTCTCCTTCATTCCTCACGGCAACAGATAAGCCATGCCCAAACTATTATGGGGGAATAGGAGGTCTGTATGTATCTTCTTTATCTATATTACATCTGCTTTCATTACTTGATAAAGTGGTAGGAGTAGCATTGGAAAGAAATAGGGAGCAGGATCCTGAGGCCATATAATGGTCTTAGGCCTTGTGAATACACATCAGGTATGAAGAGGGAACAGTCCCATGTGGGCAATCCATGAGTGCTTCTGACCCTCTGCAGTGTTACTTCCTTAAGCACTGTTGCTTAGAGAACATGTCTCAGGGAAAGAATTTCAGGAACCATAAGATGGTTTATATAAGCTCTTTGAAATCAGAGATAATCTTCTGCCTTCAGAAGGGGTAATGAGAATCCCACCCTAGCCTCTTCATGCAGTATGTGTGGAGAAACCATACATGCTTTCTATCCAAGGTCAGAAAGTCGAGTTTATTCTAGTGAATGCAAAAGGAGAATTGGAGAAAATTGAAGCCAGGGTATGAGCTATCCTAAACTTCTGGCCTCCTTTCCTCCTGCTCCAAAGTGCCCATATTAAATGCACTGAAAAGCTTGTCTAGTAAAAATATAAGGGGATTTGAAGATATACAGGTAGTGGACAGGGATGCAAAGGTAACCTCTGATGTTTCTCCTACACCGTCAGCTTCAGCCTACAATTATAAGAGACTTGGGGGCTTCTGAGTGGCAAGGGTTAATCAATAGGATTGCATTCTTATGTATTCTTTGTTTTTTAAATGGTATCTATCAACCTTGGTGAAGGCTGGTGTATATACACCTGGATTGTAAATAAGGAAAATTGAGGTGAGAGTAGCAATCATAAAGACTGCTAACTAGGTCTATGGAGAATGGTCTATTTTCTTCATCTCTATATTTTCCTTCCTCCAAGGAGTTCAGAACTGTTAGAAACATAATTTTCCACATTCTGATAGTTACCTTGTAAGGTAGGTCACATTCTGTTAGAGGGCTGAGTGGAGTTGACCATTTATTTATGCATTTAATTAGTAATTTGGGTACTCTTTTGTTTGCTGGTCTTTTCTGATCTCTGTAACTGGCTGCAGTGTTCAATTGATGAGTCAACTGATCACTCATTTGAGACCCTGGTGATACTGCAGTGGAAACACCAGGGCCACAAAGATAACAAAAAGCAGAAGTCTATCCTAAGTAGACTAAGTAACTGCTTTTACTCTTCCTTTTTATTTAATAAGCCCTAGCATAAAGTGAGAGATGATCTCTTTCCTTCCCTAAGTTCTCTTCAACTTCCTGGGTCGGCTGCCATGGTTGCATGTGTTGTGGATTCCTACTTTTCACCAATATTCTCAAAGGTGGTAATTGAGCTTTGTTACAATTTTAACGTACTAAAAGTGAAAATAAAGGTGTTACAATACTGTAAAAATAGTGTGTTGAATGCTGTTCCTTGTGCTCAGTTAATAGAGTACATGTTTCCAGATTTAGCTAATATATTACATATTCATGACTACATAGGAAACACATGAGAATTAGGTTTATGCCATGTTTGTTGGTCTCACATATCATATATGCTTGCTGGATTTGCATGACATAATAGTCCCCAAGCTGTAATTCAACCTATTGCCTGCAGGAGTTGCAACTTCCAGAATGAACTGAAGCATGTTAACCTGAATCTGATTGCTGTTATATTACACATAACATACATCAAACTCTGATTCTTATGTGGTCACAGCACCATCACATGCTCACAAAACAGATACTGGCAGGATTGGGAGAACCCTAACATTTGCAAAAATACCAAAATATGCCCATCCTTTAAAAATAATATTTTTAAAAAGGATTGAACATGCACAGTGGCCAAAGCATGCTGGTTGGTTATTTGGAGAGGTAAAAATAGTGGAGGTGGGAGATAGAATGGGGTATCTGGAAAGACAGCATGCCTGTCTTGATTAGGAGAATTCGATATCACAGTGCTGTGGTATATTGGCCTTTTCACTGTAAATCCCACAATAGAAAACCAAGCAAGTTTCTTAATTAGTTTTTTTGCACCAGTACTGTAGTAGTTCAACTTGAACGAGGTACATCTTACTAATTTAATGGACTGCCTGGTTGGATCTCATTTTGGAGGGTTCATTTATTCATAAGAAGTTAATATCATGCAGTCCCTTTGCTTTCTTTTGGTTGTTGGCAGCTACACTCTAGGAAAACTTTCCCTCAAAGAAATAAGGAGTGGGGAAGAAACTGACAGCTAGAGAAAGAAAGAAGTGGGGGAAGGGAACTGATTGAAAGAAGAAAAATAGACACTGATATGGAGGAGGGACTGGACAGTACCAGATATGGTCCTTTTTCACTTACTTGTTTCGCTTCCTTCTTTTCCATTGTCATTCCAAGCTTACGTATATCTTTAAAAAAGCGTTGTTCAAGAATGCGGTACCTCCTGTTTGGTTACTCAGATGCCAGTCTCAAGCTGGTGTAGTATATTGTGTTGCATATAGATAGTGAGAAACTGCAACACACTTCCTACTTGGTAGCGCAGCCTTGAAAAATACATCAAACTAAGAGTATACCACAAAAAGTGGCTTAAGTGCTGCCCCTGTGGTAAGAAATGAATCAGTGGTGCAACATTTTTCCTCATGCTTACAGAAATACCACACCAGAACTAAAATATCCCATCAAAATTAAGCATTCTAAGCAGCAATCAAGGTTCAATAGCAGGGGTTGAAAAGTTTGAGGAGTAGAGAGATGCCTATACAAGTCAGAAAAAGAATTATATAAAGTGGTAAATGACAAGAAACCCCATCAGAATCTTACTCAAATTTCAGAGCTGCATTTTCATGTGATTTTGGAGATGAGGGTTGTGACAGGGACTTCACATACCATGCCAAGTCATGTGCTGCCCAGTCCTCTTATACAGGATCTTAACTGCTGTTATTCTTACAGTGTACCTTGAAAGGTGTCCAAAAGTATATGCCAGTCCTTGAATTGGTTTAGTAAATTTTCTCTGTTGGAGAGGGATAAAATCCCCTCCCCCCCTTGTACTTTGGTCACAGCAAGTGAACAGGGCTTGGGAAGTGGGGATAGCTCCACAGAATCACACTGCAACCACTGTAAGATCTATGCCCCATGTTGGAATGTAACCCATTAGTAATTAGCTTGTACAATAGTGTTGTTTAAACAATTTGTTATAGTTATGAAATTAATATAGTAGCAAGCTTATTTTACTGAGACCTAATTATGCCCATTATTAGAAATGGTTATTTTTTCATCACCTGCTAGCCAAATGTATTGATAGGTTTCAAATAGGAAAAAGAGGTCGAGAATAGTTTCATTCCTGTGGTGAAGAAAATTGAGGTTATTTGGACTTCAGAACAATATGTAGATGACCATACTACTGTGTAACAGTAGAGGAAGCCTGGAAAAAAAGCTGGAAAAGAACATTTCACGAAAGTGGTTTTTCTTTTTCCACTAATTTTCAACTTCATGAATTTGGGATGTAAATTGTAACCTTGTAATATCTTGAGTCAGTAGATAAATGCTTTCAGGCTAAAGCTTTTTTAAAAATTGAAGTTCATTAGAAAAAAATTAAATAGGTGAGTTTAGGGAGAAAACCTAAAGTTTTCATATTTTATTAACGAGCTTTTCTAAATACTAATAGCTAATATTTATTTATTTAAAGTTTTTATATGCCATCCCCATTGCTACACAGCCTCGGGATGGCTCACAACAACAAATAAATAAAACAAATAGAATTACAATTACAATTGAAACTTGGAAACACACTGGCTGCATAATTAAAACTATAAATATTAAAGATTATTAAAATACTGTTTGAATAAAATGGTCTTGGCCTGGCGCTGAAAAACAAATAACAACAGCGCCAGCAGACCTCTCTGGGGAGCGCATTCCACAGATGGGGTGCCCGCCGTAGAGAAACCCCTCCTCCGGGTACTTTGCTTCCTGATATCTCTTACAGAGGAGAGCTCCTGCTGCCGATCTCAAGGGGTGGGAGGGCAAATATGGCCACAGGCATTCCTTCAGGTATCCGGATCCCAAGCCATTAAGGGCTTTATAAGTAATTACCAGCACCTTGAATACTGACCAATTCTGTGTATAACTGAGAAAATACTAAATTTTTAAAAAAATTTGGATGAGTCCAGATAACTTGACACTGGGTATTTTTAAAGCTTAAATAGGAAAATAAAATATAAATATAGCATATAACAGCTATTTCTAATCAAGATTGAGAGATGGAGTATGAATACTTCAGAACTTGTAATTATTAGTGGAATTACTTCAGCTGTAAGGGTTATCCTGGAGGAAGGAAGGAAGAAAATCTTGGTCTTAAAAGGTACACCTTTCTTCTCTAATACTTTCATATTTTCTAGAAAAGCATCTATATTATTTTTATGTAAGTAGTTACAGTTCTAAAAATAAATTGACTGATAACATTAATTAGTAACATAATGGACAGAGCACCGTAAAATTGGATAGTTCCAAACATACAGTTAACTTCTTTCTTAGATGACTGATCTGGTTGTGTGTCATGATTTGCCACTTTGCATGCAAATACCAATCAAACATAACTACATGATATCTGAACCCTTATGTTTGTTTATTTATGAATTTTGTATACCATCCAATTACTAACATCTCTGGACAGCTATCAGCATAAATAAATTGACCCACTCTGGCTGCAATTAATAAAATACAATAATACAATTCAATATTAAAACTTATTAAAATATTGATTGAATAAAAAGGTCTTAACCTGGCACTGAAAAACATATAATGACGGCACCAGGTGGACCTCTCTTGGTTATGTTGTCGTTAATTGAGAGCTAAACTGACCTATAACCTACAGTTACTAGTTTAGATTAACAATAGGTGTTTTAATTTAGAATTAACCTGTAGTGGATCAGGGACTGAATATTTGGAAAGGCTGCAGGATGTGTTTGGCACATATGGTGGCAAATGGAAAGTTCATACTAATTAATTTGTGAGTTCCTACTATTATCTGCAAATTTTTTTCCTCATCAAATACTTCTTTGGCTCACTTTTGTTTTGATGCCCTTTTGGTAATATACCTAAAGACATTTAGGGCTCAATTCCATGCATGTTTAGATGTCGGGAGGCAGGGGGAAGAGTCCTAGCACTATCAACATTCCCCACCCAGATTCTGTTTAAATAGTAAGAGGATTGTAGTCTTTATTTTGAAAAACATCCATAACTAACTTTCTGTTTGATTCTAGAATAGAGTGATTTCGAATAGAAGACAAAATATAGCTAAGATATAGCCAACATATTAAATTACTTTCATGCAAATGAAAAGGTATGAGAAAACCCATCCTTGCCTGGGGACAATCTTACCCCCCCCCCAGAGTATTCTGCAAATCAATGCCCCCACTGAAGAGTTTCTCTGGTCATCAGTTGCCTTTTATGGTGGTGGGATTCTGAAGGAACATATTTGAAAGCAACCTCAGTATACTAGCAGGTTGACATCAGAGCAGTGATTATTACAGGTACTATGTACTGGAAATCAGTGGGGGTGGGGGGGTTCAGTACTAGTGAGATGACTCTACCAACCAAGCAGTACCCCCAGACTACAAATCAGAGCTCATGCAGAATATATCAAACACCATCTCTGTATAGATAAACCATGTACTCAACTTTTTAAGATAGGGTTTCATTTTATTGGCCCTTGTCCAGGCCATCACTGAATTCACACAGAAATTTCTACCAACTATGTGGTCATTTCACTTCCCAGTTGCAGTTAGCTCTAGAATAAGTACCCTTGTCTTGGTCTGGAAGTTGGTCCAATTCTGTTGGAGCATCCATGAAGTGATACTTTGTCATGGTTCTTTGAAAGTAAAAGACAAATATAATTTTTAATATTGAATTACGATCGTTGGTGATGCTAGAACAGTCTTAAATTTTATTCTGCCACAAGTTCAGTTCATTAAAAAAAGTATTACAAAAAGTCAGCTACAGAGTGCATTCCGATTTTTAGTATTAGAATCCCATCTGGAAGTATCACCAACCTCACTGATCATACATTTGTATTCTGCTTTTCATGGCACCTCAGATGGCAGACCCAGGATTCTCAGATACTACTCAGGAATGTATCTCCTAAATCTAAATGTGAAGCCCAAGCATTCCACTACACTCCAGTATAATCAAGGATCATTCCAGACTGCATCAGGTCCAGATTTTAATGCCAAAAATGGCAGCAGGCAGGTTTAACTCTATACCTGTGTCATCCCAAAGGGTACTCTTTTTGAGAAGTTAATGACCTCTCTTTAATCATATGGAAAAAACAAAGTAGTGCACTTGGAGTAGTACACTATAAGACTTATATGTACTTAATTTTATCAAGGTTTCTGTATTGTGTGCCCTCAGGCAACACCCTGGTAGCTAATTACATAAATAAGTAACCTTGTTCAAATTTCTCATCTGTTTTTCACTGGATAGAAAAATGGATAGAAAAACCGTAATACATGTATATGGACATTTTAAACCATTTATATCTGAATAGATATGCAAAATGTTAAAGCTTATTTGTTGATGACATATTTTGTGCATCTTAAGTGCCATGTCTATCATTGGCCCATCATTTCTCAAAATAATGTACTGTATTTAGATCCTTCTGAATCCTTCATTTATGCTTTTTGTCCACCTTTCACAATATGCCTGCTTATTAATTATCATATCTGTATTCTGTGTTTTTTCCAAGGGATTCAAAGGTATGTGGGATTTATAGCATTGTATTCTCACAACAATTCTGTGAAAACAGTCCAAACTGAGAGGGTGACATGCCCAAATCCATTCAGTGTCTTGGGTTCAAGTTTTAAGAGTTGTACTCCATGAGGTGTGTATTCATTTGTATCGTTCAGCTCTAAATTATACAGTGGTACCTCAGCTCACGAACTTAAATCTGTTCTACGACACTGGTCACGGCCTGAATTACATAAGGTTCAATGTAAATAAAGTTAATCCATTCTGACCCCTGCAAATGTGGTCATGAACCGATTTTGGTTGCAAACCAAGTCAGATTTGCCCGTAAGGTAAATAAAAAAATATTTACAGAATGGATTAACCTTAATCACAAGAATGTAACAAAGTACAGTACAATAGAGAACACTAACCTAGGTGGGGGGAGGTTATTGTTTGGAGGGAGAGTTTAAACAGTCGTGCAATAGCAGTCATGCTTGGGAGGGAGATGGCTGCAATCGTGCTCGTGCAGGGAAGATGGGTGGGATCGTGATCGTCACCTGATGCGGAGTTCACAACTTGAGGCAATTTTTTTCTGAAATTTCTGTGCATGACCTGATTTGGTCATGAACTGAGGCGTTTGTGAGCCAAGGTGCCACTGTATTTAAGTGCTTATTATTTTCATGAACTGGAACATGGGAGAGTGGAACAAAACAATTTCCCACACCCATTTTATCTCATTGTGCTAAAGTACTCTTTTTGCAACTGTGATGCTGGAAGTTTGCTGAGCTGGTTTGTAATTGCTTGAAGTAATATAATGAAGGTGGTGGAGGTGAAAAGGTTATTATCCATCTTCTCTCACAGGCTCTTTCTTAATTTTTTATGTGAAGCAGACTAATGAATAAAAACACATTATTACAATTAGCTTAGCCCTAACACTATCTCTGTAATGTACTGCATATATTTTGTTAAGCCTCCCAGCACAGTTGAACTTGATTAGTACAAACCAGTTCTGAGACATCTTTGCTGGACATTTTGAGGGAATTTATTGCAGTGAACCATCTTTCAGTTTGGAATAGGGTGGCCATTTTGTATGGTATATAAACCCTTTTCATGGAGGTGGTTTTATGAGTCAATAGTTGGGATGTTTCAAAAATGAGCTTAAAATTAAAATTTATATATTCACAGATGAACTTGAATTCTTGAGTATATTCAAATCATTTTGCTTTGGACAAAACTGCATGGTAGTTTTAGAGAAACAACTGGCTTGGTAACAAATAGAGTGGTGGTTTTTGGGTTTGTTTGTTTGTTTTTTTGGGTGACTGAACTTCCATGCTAAAGTGAGTTATGTATTTTAGTTATTACCTATATTATTTTCATCTGTTTTACACCAAAAATTTAACAGGCTTTGCTTGTAATGCTTGGCAATGTATTGTAGAAACCGCAAATGAAGGCCAGATGTATAAACTTGCATAATGTTGAAGCCACTGATGATAGACTGTAGGAGAACTTTAAAAATGAATTCCACATATTGTGATTAATTTAAATAGCAAAAGTATTTGATTAATATAACGTTGGTACTCTGTATTGGATGTGATGTGAAGCTAAACTGCATTATAAGCAAGGCTAGGTAAACCTGCATGACCTAATTACAGATGTATTTCTCAAAATAGCCCCTCAGGGCTGAAAGCACATTGCTAGTTGCAGACACATTTAAAGGTGCCTCTTGGAGAATATATCTTTAAATAGTACTTCATTGCCTCATGCTTGTATGTTCCTTACCATGGAGGATATGTTTTTAAAACCCACTGAGCCTTTGGGTAAGAGCATTTTGCTCCTTGTTGATTGGAGAATAAAGGATCTTCCTCCTGCCTACTTTAGAATTGCCTTTTATGAGTATGCAAAGTTTAGAGTTGATTTGAGTGTTGATTTCAAATTTCAGTACTCAACTGTGTATCAGTGCAGTATTCACACAACACATTAAGCTGTTAAGTTCTTTCTCTCTCCTACCCTCCAGAAAGCTGTTTAAGGACAGAACATGTGAATCTTATTTGATACCTATTGGTAATCAAGGTGCCTCATCATCTCAAAAACAAATTTGGGCAAACTTCTGTCTCTCTATTTGAATGTTGTTGTTTTAAAAAATTAAAAGAAATGATTCCAATCTGTTGTAAGCTGATGCATTTGGAAGAGTGTGTTTTAAAAACAAATATAAAGGCATTTGAACGAAACCTTTTCCACTTTAGTACAGTCTAATATGAAATCGTCAGGAAGGCTATTACCATATTATTACTGCATGTTTAAAGTAGTTCGAGGGGAACTGTGGAAGATAATTAAAGTCAGATACTTAGTTTTACATAGTGCAGTATAGTATGTTGTAGTATTTTATTACTGGGCTAGCATATTTGTAAAGAATGGTAACAGTAGTAAGGAAGTCCCTAGTTCAAATGTCACATCAGCTACAAGCTCGGTACCTGACTTTAGGCAAACCTCAGTTCTTCCTGTACAGTACAGGGATGTTTGTAAGCATTAGGATTACTGAGGTTAGAAGGTGCTTTGAATGTTCAGAAAGCAGTATATAAATAATTATGTTTGTTTCTGTTGTGAAGATAAATATTCAAATCTCTCTCACCTTGCTGCACAACATAGTAAAATAAACAACCATAGTAAAAGTATTTTTGGTAAAATATTGACTTATTCCTGGCTGTTGAAAGATTGGTTAAGTAACTGCTTTGTTTACGGAAAGGGTCTCCAACATGTTTGTTATTGTAGAAGAGGTATGTGTAATCATGCTCCTTAAAAACCTTTCAACTTAGAAAGGCCTATGGTATAATGTAAGACTAAGGGAGTCAAGTATGGTGCAGAGGAGGGTATTCTGTCAACTAGTTCTGTCAGTTTTGGCTAACAGGTCAGATGTTACTGCAAGTACTTAGCTGCTTTTGCACTTCTGATACGTTGTAGCAATTTTTTTTTCTTTATGCACTGATGTGGAAAAAGTTATTTCAGATCTTTCATTCAAAACACATTGAGATGGTTTATCAGTTGTTGGAAACCATAGCTACCTTATTTTCCTTTGTAACAGCTTTTGGAAAAAATGTTTTTGGAATATTTGGTAGTATAATGATTTGAACAGGGTTGCTTTAAGGGGCAAAACAAAACAAAAAAATAACTGAAATCAGGCTTCTCCTGAGTAGCATTCCCTGCCTGCCAGTAATATCTGGCTTCATTCCGGTAGTCAGTAATATGTGACATGGACTTGCAGCTGCTCGGATTCAGGTCCGGATTGGAGTGAGTTACCGACTGGTTCACAGAAGCAGTCTTTTGTGCTTTTTGAGATTTTTCTGTATGTAGCATTTGTGCTCCAACAAACTGCAGTCTCTTCAGCACGTGCACTAATAGCCAGCGTGTGGGTATTACTTCATAAGGAGGGAGGTGCTTTGTGGCAAATATTTCACACATTGCTACGTTATTACTGGCTGATGTTGACAGCACATTGCAGCCATCTTAATCACACTTTCAGTGCAGCTGAAACAGTGCAGTCTCAAAATGGCTGACGAAATGTTCTCTGGAGCAGTTTAGTCTGACTGTATGCTAATGAGCAAGTCTGGTGGAGTCACATGTTACAGAATCAGAGGTAAGAAATGACAGTTATTATTTTATAAGAATGTGTGTGGCTAAATATGAGATGAGAGTAATTGTTGACATACAAATGTTATTTTATTTGGTTTCCAACTTTTGGTGAAGGTCAGTTTTAAACACTTAACAATTTCACAAGGATTGCAGAAATGATTCTGCTGGGGTCAAAGGTCAAACCTATTATTGCAAAAATGCCTTAGTTGTATGTTGCCTCCATTTGGAAATTAGAATTAGTTGATTTTAAGAAAACAAATTAGCCATATCTTTACTAGACTTTATATTAAACTTCTTTTGTATTTTAAAGCCACTTTTCTATGACTATATGCACAAGGGCATAATAAGAATATACCGATAGAATATTCACCAGCATATTTTTCTCTTAAATTCTTTAAATATTTAGATTATGGTAGTTTTTGAAGAATAAAGACAACATTGCATTTATGAATGACAGCATAACACATTTATATAGTGCATATTATATAAAAGTATTTGTATTATATACATATAGTGATCTTCTACATTTTCAGATTTGCTCTACTGCATGTGAAACAAGAAGGAAAAGTTAAGTTTGTTTAGTCCTTGGCATTTGCACGGTATGGTTATGAGTCCATTTACATGCACAGGAATTATGGCCTAGGTTTTTAACCTACGATATATCCTTTTTGATAATGTTATTTTAAAGAGTTTTACTGCTCTAGGACATAGTTAAGAAAGGTAAGTCACAGAACAAGCTCTCAAGGGAAGCTTTGGGCTTCTATTTTAAAAGGTTATGGTCTGCTTTTCTGTTGATAAGGGACAGGAACTTGATATTACACCTGAATTCAGGATACACAAATAGATTCTAATTAGATTTCCAGCATCAAACTGTTCTCATGTGAAGGCATCTAAACCAGAAGAATTTTGAAGGCCTGTCCTCCGTAAATGAAGTCTTGAATAAAACAGTTTAATATGACACATACTTGTTACCTTTTGAGAAGATACCTCATATCAAAAATAGTATTATGAGGATCTTAAAATGTCACTTCTAAATCTAGATTTGAAGCCCAAACATTCCACTACACTCCAGTATAATCAAAGAGCACTCCAGATTGCATCAGGTTCAGATTTTAATGGCAGGAATTGCAACAGGAAGGTTTAACTCTATACATTTATCATCCCAAAGTGTGCTCTTTTTGAGAAGTTAATGGCCTCTGTTCAAGCATAGGGCAAAAACCAAAGGAATGTACTCGGGAAAAAGCTGTCCACCATAGTTGACAGTGTATTTCTGTTGACAGGGGCGCCATGATGATGGTAGAGTGGTTAGCAGGGTTTCCTCTTCCTTTTCTGAAGGCAGCTCCAGGGGAGTAGGCAATAAGTTTGCATTCCTTACCATCTCAGCAAAACCTAGCCACGTCTTCTCCACCTCCTTCATCAAAAGGATAGCCCCTTATTTGTTGTTATTCATTCTTAGATGGCTAATTGAGTAGCTAAGTTATAAATCATGTCGTTTAGTGGGCAGCTTTAAAAACTACATGAAAATAATATTGTATCTGTTTGAATTGAAAGCTTGTATGTAGAATATTGCTTTGTTTAAGCAAGAAATAATGGTCTTTTATGATATTTGTTATAGTAGAATTAAAGGTGTAAAAATACTGCTACAAAAGGTCTCTTACAAGTCTCACTCCAGTTGTCTTGAATATCTTACATAAGTTGACAGCCTCTTTTTAGTGATGCCCAGACTTGCTATTTTATAGAAAGAAAAAACAGGTCACACCATTTACTCACTAAATTCAGTAAATGTTATTTTCCTGGGTTTCTCCCTGAAAATATTCTAAATAGTTACAATGTCAAGCTGAAGAATATTTTAAAATAGTTAGATCTCATTGCCAACAACATTCAAGATACCAAAAGTCATTTACATTCTCTCTTGCTGATGCATAGCAATTTTAGTAACATCTGCTAGCAAATGGAAACAAGGAGAATGATTTCACTTTTTTTATATCCCCATGTTGCAAATTTACATTTCCTGTTGTGTTTTAGTACTATATCAGGTTAAAGAAGGCAATACACTGACATTGTAGGCTTTTTCTAGAGTCTGTATTCACTTTCCTAAGTTCCTACAACAGGTGCCTTACTAGAGGATTTTAAATGCATGGAAAAATATTGATCTAGTTTAGTTATTCCTCTGTATGAAATGTAGGATTGGGTAAGATTTAGTGGAAGCAAAGCATTTGTTCCTATCAGTTTCAGCAAGGGAGAAGTCTTTGTATGTTTAATTCTTACATTTGAGTTAATGGAATTTGACAATGCTTAGTTTTAACTTGGATGGCCCAATATAATAATCTTGAACTTAGGTACAACTTTGCCTAAACTCTTCTGATATGATTGCTTACTTCCCTTGATATACTGGTAGTATTCTTCCATTGTCTCCTTTCCACTTTGCTCCAGCAGTTTTAAAGACATTTTTATTTGTCATAATTTTACACTTTTAGGGAAACAGGCATAATAATTAGAATCTTCCATGTTAAAGAGAATATTATTATTGAAACAGTTAAGTTTTAAGTTAGCTTGCAGCAGAATTGATGGCTCTGCCCCTGCTATTTAACTGACTTAAAAATGTAAAGGGATGTTTATATTGACAATACACTTGTCTCTGAAATGATTGTTTTAGAATTAATTGAAAGCTGTTTGGGATCAGTTCATAGCTGATCAGATTCTGTTGTTTATTTTTCCTCTTGAGAATTGGTGAATACGTTCACCAGTATTATTGCAATACGTTCTGAACTTTGTAGCAGTCACTTTAACATGATTGCTTAATGAGATGAATTAACTCTTTAAAATAACATATTCTTTTAAATCTGCTTGGTTTGATTTTCACAAACATAAAAGAACACGATTTAATCTGTATTTGTTTGGTGAGCCAGGTACTTATCGGCAGGCAACTGTCCTTCATTGATTACTCTTGCAGACTTAACATGGATTTTTTTTCCTGGTGTATTTTTCTATTTCTCCAGTGTACTCTTTTTAAAGAACAGTTATGGAGGTAGAACATGGGAAATCTTGTTAGGACCAGCCTCAAAACCAGGTTTAAAGGAAAACATGTCAATTTATTGTTTCCAAATCTATAGTCTCATTAATACTGAAAGCAGTTGTGTCAAAATGTTGCAGGATTCCAAAATGTTTTAATTGAATTACTCTTCTAAAACTAGTGTGACAAACTGTTTTCAGAAAAAAAATGTTTTAAGTTGTATTATGTATATCTTAGAAATAGCTGCATTTAAATTATCTGAAGGTATGAACAATAGTGAATGTACATTCAGTTTCCCTTTAAAAATAATTTAACTTGTTCAACATATATAAGAAAAATCAGTTTCTGTACACAGCAATTTGTCATGCATAAAAGAAACATACAGCTGATGACAAGACAGATTATAGAATAGAGGACCACAGCAGTTTACCTGAACAGATCTTAGCACAAGCTGCAGTGAGCAGGCCTAGTTTATTTTGTGCTGTTTAATGCCAACTGTTTCTACCCATGTAATAAAGTTACCTGTTTTGCTGTACATTGAGCCTGAATTTGCTTTGTAAGCTTTTCTATTAGTGTCCCAAAACTTCAACATCCAATTTCATATAGATGGCTTTTGCTCAGCCCTCCATTTCAACACAGTTTTCAGTGCAGAGCCATCAACAAAAAGCTAAGCAAGTCTGTATTCCTGAGATCTGTGTGCATGCTTTTCTTGATAAAAGAATGATTCAGAGGCAAAATGTGACATGGCTGAAGTCAAGCACTAAATATGCATCAAATGTTACTGTACAAATTACAGACATTCAGAGGCTGTAAGCTTTTCATATCATGGAGAAATGTCAACCCATTGTTTTCAGAAAGTTCTGATTGTTTTAAGTCTTTAAGCTAACAATCTTGCTGTGGTGGTAAAATGCTTTCAGACTTGAGCACTTTTATCTGACCCACCTAAGCTTCTAAGTTTCCTTTATGTATCCAGGTATATGACGACTTCTTCAAGAAAACATGGAATTATGTAGCTGAAACAGTCTATAGTTAATCAGTGGTAGAATTCTGAACATTCTGTCAGACAGAATTCCTTTGAAAATGAAACCAGATGCATCTGATGAAGCAGAATTTAGACCACGAAAGCTTATGCCATAAGAAAAAATACTAGTTTTAATGGTGTCCCAAGAAAAAATAGCATGAAAAATTGTTAAATGATTACTTTGTTAGATTCTTTTCAGTGTTTTGCTAAAATTGAATGATTAAATAAAGGCTGATAAATTTTTAAAAGTCCTTAATTGGAGCATTTCATGAACCCAATTTAGGTCATCTCTGACTTGCCTGGAATTATTCCAGGACATTTTCCATACACAGCTTTGCAAGAGAAACACACACGTGCGTGCGCGTGCCTAAAGTGTTCCATGAAACCAATAGAAATTTGGGTTGATTTCAGACATGGTCCAAAGCCTGAACAGAACTGATTGACTTTAGTTTGGTTTTGCTCCCAAGGTGGACTTTGCGCCAACAGAAAGCAATAGAACTGAATGTGCCAAAGGAGAAAGCTGTTTCAGCAGCTTGTATTTATTAGGCATGCTAGACTTTGTCTCCAAATTGCATCTTTTGCTTTTCCTTTTCTGTAAAGTGGAATGGGAAGGGAGTGTAGTTTAGTGATTGACAGGGTCACCTATAAATCTGAGAAACATTTTGCCAGGGGCATCAGTGGTTGTGCTTTATGGCAAGTTGTGAATTAGACCATGAGATGTCCATTCTTCCAACACCACAAGGTTTCAGTAGAAACAACTCCTTCAGTTCATTTTCAGAAATCATAAATCACTGGTCCCTGTATTTATGCTCCTGAAACGTTATTTCCATTGGTAAGCTGCCAGAGTAGCTCATAGGTGAGCTCCCTAAGTGGGTTACAACAGTTAAACAACATAACGTTCTAAAATCAGTAGTACAAAACATAACCAGGCAAATTAAGATAATTATACAAAAACTTCAAGTAAGCAACA